GGGGGGGGGGTATACGTATTTATGCAAATGCATGCAATGAAGAAACTGCTGTTAACATTTACATTTTATTATTACTTTAAATAAACATTCTGTTTTTAAATGTACTGGATTTTTGTGTTACCTGATTTCGGCTGATTTTGTGTCTGTATTTGTGTTTAACAGCAGAGTGAAACCAGCAGCCACTGGCCAGGGCTCCATCTCCCCCCTCAAATCCTCTAAAGTCCCACCATCCTCCTCTGTCTCTGCCTCTGCCAAGCGAATTGGCCGCTCTTCAACTTCATCAACCAACCTCAAGAGGTAAGCCTGACTTCCCTCTAATCAGCTTTCCTCCAATCTTCTCTACACTTTCCATTTCTTTCTTCCTCCTGCTTATTCTCTCACTCGTCCACCTCTTTCTCTTTGTTGCCTCTTTATTTCCAACTCTTTCGTGTAACTTATTCCTTCTCTTTTTATTTCTCTCCCCCTCTATTTCATGTCCTCCCAGCTCCCTGGTGGCCTTCTTTCCTCTCTGTGATTATCCTATGCTCTGAAACAGAGAACCGTAAACGCAAGGAACCAAGTTGGTTGCTACATGCTGTTGGTTTCAAGCGACTCATTCCCTGCTGTTTATGTAATCAGATATCCAGAGTCATATCACCTACCTACTACTCTATCAGTCTCTCCAAACCAGCACCTATCGTGGCGTAGCCATGTATTTTTGGATCAAGTACATACCCTCTACTTTCTAGTACCGTTGTTACTGTTGTCAAACCATGTTGAAAAGCACTTTTTAACACTGGACTAAGGCTGGGTGATTTAAACTTTAATGTTTATATATATAACACGCACAGAGTGTTGAGAGTAACACATTACAAGTAATGTAATCAGATTACTTTTTTCCAAGTAACTAGTAAAGTAATGCACTATTTTTAAATGACAAGAAAATTAGTTACTTTTTCAAATAAGTAACACCAGTTACTTTGTTTTCCCATGTATTGACTAACAGCTCTCCTGTCCCCATATTGAGAGAAATCGGGAGTAAGTGCAGAGGCGTTATGTGCGCTGTGTAAGCATGATACTGTAGTTACTGTAGTTCTAGACTAAATGTCAACATGCATTTACTCATCTCACTTGCACAAAACAAATTCAGTATTCCTCAAAATGCTTAAAAACAGTGAAATGCAAACTCAGAATATGACGCAAAGCTGCAATAATTAAATGTTAAATAACACATGTACTTTATGTATTTAATTCTTTGCTGCTGACCTTCGATGATCCAATTCAACCATACTAAGCAAAAATGACTTTAGATAAACATAACATTTGTTTCTTTTCTTTTTATTGCTGAAGAGAGTTGAACTTTCTTCTCCTGTGTCTTATTCTTCATGCAATATATATATATATATATATATTGGCTGACTAAATACTTTTTCCCCCCACTGTATATATATCTCAATATCATAATTTTCTTTTATATGAACAAATACAATAATACCTGCTAATAAACAGCAATATACTCACATTATTTTACGTAAACATTTTAATATATGAAAAAAAAAATGCATGGGTGAAATAGAGAAATACAATTTTATATGCAAAATTCTGGTTATCTGGTTTATAACATTCTCAAAACATTAGCACAAAAATGTAATTTATACATTTTTTAATGAAATGTTCCAGATTGTCTAATTACTCATTAGTCTACTTGTTTCAGATTGTTCAGAAAACATTCAAAAGTAATGTTCCTGTAGCATTTGCAACAGGATAAAATGGAACTTTCCATGAATGTTTTCTCTAAGGTTTGTATAACGTTTGTAATTTTAAAAACATTTAAATATTTTATATATACAAAATATTTGTTTTGTGTACTCGTGCAGAGTAATATTTGATGCCAAATCATGTTCTGGCACATTCTACATTCTCCAGTTAATACATTGTTCGCTCAAAGTTATCTGGTTTTCAATAAGGTTCTTGAAACATTAGCACAAAAACACAATTTATGCATAATTTTTTCCTGAAATTATTGAGTTAGATGATTGTCTAATATTTAAAAATACTAACCAGTTGTTTCAGATGGTTCAGAGAACATTGAAAAGTAACATTCCTGTAACGTTTGCAAAATAATAGATTGAACCGCTCCCCTAATGTTTTCTCAAACGTTCACATAACCTAGAAAAAACTTTATTACAATATTACACAATATTATATGACCCAAGAAATAAAATTAAAGAATACATTTTAATTTAAATTGCGTGTTTTAATAATTGCATAATTTAATGATCAACTTGACAGCAACAAATCATTGAATCAAACTTAAATTTAAAGAGACATGGGTACTTTGCTGAATCAATATTGCATTAAAAATAATATTTACGATTAGAAAGATTGTCAGTATATAATAAGTCGCCCAGTCCTACTCCAGGCTGAGTTTGATGTCTTAAACAGCAGAAAATACAGTGTAGTCCAGAATGCATGCAGTTCCTTGTCCCATTATCAGACAGTTTTCCATGATCTCCGTGTTCTGGAGTGTAGATATGGTACGAGTATGTGTCCTCCCCGTCCTCCACCCTTCATGTGTGTTTCCCTCCCTCCCATCCACCAGCACCAGGTTAGCCAGCTCTCTGGGTAACCTGTACGAACCAAATGGTGAAGCCAACAGCTCTGGGAAACCGCCTTCCCCTTCTTCATTCACTTCCCACCCCATCCGCATGGGTTACAGCAGCCCGATCGCCACCCACAGTTACCACTATGAGGTCAACAACAATCAGTATAACAGCATCAGCACCCCGAACAGCAACGGGGTAAGCCCGAGCAGCGGGGCAAAAAGCCTGACCTACAACCTCAACAAAACCAGCCCAAGTGGACCTTCCAGCAATGGAAGGCTGGGGGCCAGTGAACAGGGGCACCACAGAAGCCCCCCGACGGGGCTGAGCGGGCTCTCGGCACGATACCTCAGCCGGTCCATTCCTGTAAGTCATCTCTCCTCCCATCAACCTTCCCAAGATACACACACAGCAAATTGACCGTGGTAACTGTCGGTTTCTGCCAAAATGCCATAATTACCAATATGTCAACAATATGGCTTATATATATGTATATGTAAAATTTATTTTTAAGCTAATATTTATATAATTTTCTTTTATTATATATAAGTTAGATATCTCATGTTCTTGGTTAATATATTATGTAATTTAATGAGAAAATGAGGTAAATAACATTACTGAAATTAAATGAACACCTGTTTTCTTTATTCACAAAATATTTACAGAAAAATCTAAAAATGAAGATTGAATATATAATTGAAAGAAATTAAAATGGAAAATGTTTATAGTTGTAATTTGATTAATTTTATAATAATAAAGTGAGTAAAATTTTTCATGTATTTAATGTATTAAATGTATTAAATGTATTAAATGTATTATAATATTAATGTAATATGTTCACAAGTCAGAGCTTGAAAATGACAAGTACATAGAAACATGGTTATATGACTTCGTACTACACATTGGGCCTCATTTACGAAACGAACGTACGACAGAAAATTGAGCGTACGGTCGTTTCAACGCAAAACTTGGAATTTATCAATATGGACGTGAGCGGTGGCTACGATCAAATCTCACGTCTGGTCTCAGCTCGTGTACGCAAGTTTTTGAGTTACCTGAAGTTGCGCACAGCATAGTAAATACGGTGGAGAATTGTAGATTGACAGCATTTTGTTCATTTTTATATTCCTGACCGTCAAACGAAGCTCATTAGTCGATCGTTAATCAGGAAGATTAGAATGTCTTTTTTTGGTGTTGTTTTGTACAGGGCTTTAGCTCTATATGCGCGAATAGCAGCATAAACGACCATGAGGATATATTCAATTGTCGCATCATGCACCTGCAGCGCTTCTGTGAAAGGAGAAAAACAGAAATTAATTTTAATAAAAGGAATCAAATCAATAGGATCACACAAAATATATAATAGGCTATAATATAATTAAAAGATTAACAAAAGGGGGGAAAAAACACTGTGCAACAAGTATAGGCTACGCTCGTTTTTGTGACACTCTTAATGCATTTAATTTCTTTTCTTTATATCTTTATTTGATTGAATCCATCTGATATAGGCTGTTTATATTTACCAGTATTTTAATATACATATAAATTACATATATTAATGTAGCCTAATTGTTTGCAGGTACAAGGTTAACGGGTGTTTTTGGAGTAAGATCAATTTCTCTTTAGCGAGATTACTTCCTCTTTTTGGCCGGGTTTCGTTTCTCCGTGTCGTAAACTCTAGGGGCGAGGCTTCTAAACCAGGGTGTTTTTAGGGGCGTGATATGCAAATGCCGATTGTTTTCTGGCGCCACATTTATCAACATACGATCATTCGTACGATGAGATTAGCGGCATACGAATGTTTCATAAATCACACGTGAACTCAGTCGTAAGTTGATTTGTGCGCACAGATCTACGCTCGTTTCTACGTTAGATTGATAAATGAGGCCCATTGAGTGTGTGTGAGAGTAGGGGTGATTGTGTTACTTGTCTTTTATGTGATTTGTGTGATGATGTTGAATGTATTTGTGTGGTGAAGCCAAAGACAAATTTCCACTTGTGGACAATAAAGTGACTAAACTAAACATTTCTAAATTATTTAGAATTTAATGAATTAATATTTTTATTTTATTTATGTACTTATTATTATATATAAAAATTAGATATCTCATTTTCTGTCATAAAATTTTATCCATTATATATATTATATTTAATGATGGAAATGAGATGTGCATGCATTTACTGAAATTAAATAAAACTAATACTTATTCACAAAATATTTACTGAAAAATATGAAAATAAAAATTGAAGATAAATTTGATTATACATATATTTTTCAATGAAATAATATAATTTTAAATAAATATATATAAAAAAATTATTATAAGTTTATTTAAATTATTAAATTATTATTATTATTAAATATTAAATGTTCACTAGTCAGATTTTGGAAATGACATGAAAGACATGGTTATATATTAGGGATGCACCGAATTTTCGGCAGTCGAAAATTATCGTCCAAAAATGGTATTTTCTGTTTTCGGCCGAAAGAGAAAAACGGCTGTTCAAATAACGCACTGACAGGAAATTTCTATGCAGTATACTTTTTCCTGTTTACAGTAGCGCTACTGTGCTGTAACATGGTGTAGGCTAGTACAGCTGTACTGGGCAACGCTGGTAAAATGATGCTACCTTCAGTGACGCTCTGCTTAGGGCTGCACTATATATCGAAATATCGCAAATGTAAATATCGCAATATGCATATCGCAACCGCGTGCGATATCATTATCACTTTAATAATAGGCTACTTAAATCAAAACGTTGCAAAAGGTCAAAGTTTTAGTTCGACGCATATAGCAGAGAATTGCTTGGCGTTAAAAAGAGTTAAGTGCAATAAGTTGCAAAAAACAACTCTTTGCCGTCTCGTCTTGCTGTCTGACTCACACCTGAAGCGCGCGCACAAGCCGTATCTCGCACAGCATCTCTTCAGTTCTGCCGCACACGTGCACACAGAGAGATGCTTTTCAGACCGAGTTGATTCGTCTTTCGTATCTCCTCCTTATGTTTGAACAGACACATGCACACAGAATTATGTCAATAGTACCAGTCTCGACGATCATTCTCGTAAACGCAGTCGGTCCGAATTTTCGGCAGTCGAAAATTATCATCCAAAAATGGTATTTTCGGTTTTCGGCCAAAAGAGAAAAACGGCTGTTCAAATAACGCACTGACAGGAAATTTCTATGCAGTATACTTGTTCCTGTTTACAGTAGCGCTACTGTGCTGTAACATGGTGTAGGCTAGTACAGCTGTACTGGGCAACGCTGGTAAAATGATGCTACCTTCAGTGACGCTCTGCTTAGGGCTGCACTATATATCGAAATATCGCAAATGTAAATATCGCAATATGCATATCGCAACCGCGTGCGATATCATTATCACTTTAATAATAGGCTACTTAAATCAAAATGTTGCAAAAGGTCAAAGTTTTAGTTCGACGCATATAGCAGAGAATTGCTTGGCGTTAAAAAGAGTTAAGTGCAATAAGTTGCAAAAAACAACTCTTTGCCGTCTCGTCTTGCTGTCTGACTCACACCTGAAGCGCGCGCACAAGCCGTATCTCGCACAGCATCTCTTCAGTTCTGCCGCACACGTGCACACAGAGAGATGCTTTTCAGACCGAGTTGATTCGTCTTTCGTATCTCCTCCTTATGTTTGAACAGACACATGCACACAGAATTATGTCAATAGTACCAGTCTCGACGATCATTCTCGTAAACGCAGTCGGTTATGTTTTAAATGAATGTAAACAGCTGAGAAAGAAATCGGATGTGTATCATGATACTGGATCCGTGCAGTCGGTTCTAAAGGGACAGCAGCCTATAAATACGTACTGCTGAATATGTCACTAATGTTAACAAAACGGCTATAACAAAGATTAATCTAAATTTAATTCATACAGCGAACACTATGCAGTGATATTTTACACTTAATTATTCAATTTCTGTACCTGAATGCTACGGTTTATTTTATCTATGCTTGTAAATTGGTTATTTCTTTTTTTTTTCTTTCTTTTTTTTACTGACTGTTCACTTGCCTTTAATCATGTTTGAACTTTCTCAGACTATAGTTTTTGCTGTGGTATATGGAGAAGTACTTAAAGTGTGTGGAAAGCAAAGTTACAATGATATAAAATTTGCGTCGTTAATTTTTTTTGTTTGTATGTTCACATTGATATTAAAATTACATGTTCTGATTTGTGACATTACTTTTTAAGTAATGCTAAAACACTGCTGGTCACTTTCAGAAGTTATATTGATTCTTTATTTTCCAAGAAAGAATGTGAAACAAATTGGTTGTATAATTTTCATTTTTAAATATTTTAAAATATAATTTAAACAGATTTTACACACTTTAAGCAATATCATATCGCATATTGAATATCAAATTTTTTAACAAGGTATCGCATATCGCATTTTTCTTCAATATCGCACAGCCCTAGCTCTGCTCATATGCTCCGATAATAATAGCTTTGTAGGACTATACATTATTTGGATAATTAGTCCAAAAAAAAACTTATTTCTGATTCTGTTACATAGAAGTGAATAAAAATAATATATTGATATTTAATATTAAGGTAACACTTTACAATAAGGTTCCATTAGTGTTAGTTAATGTATTAACTATCATGAACGAACAATGAACAATACATGTATTACAGTATTATTAATCTTTCTTAATGTTAGTTAATGAGAATACAGTTATTCACTGTTAGTTCATGTTAATTCAGAGTGCATTAACTGTTAACAAGCACAACTGTTGATTTTAATAATGCATTAGTAAATGTTGAAATTAACATGAACTAAGATTAGTAAATGCTGAAGAACTATTGTTCGTTCTTAGTTCTTTAAATAAAGTAGTTAACTAATTAACCTTATTGTAAAGTGTTACCAATATTAATATAAATTCTGTCCAGTTTTATTGTTACTTTCAGTAAAAGTGTGGTTATTTTATTGGCTTGTGTTTTTTTAAATTCAATATTATTAAAATCAAGTTAAATTTAAAAAGTCTTACAAAATTACTTTGTAATATTTAATAAAATAATAAATAAATAAATAATCATTACAAAGAATTTTTGGTTTCAGTTTCGGTTTTCGGCCAAGTGCATCCAGAATTTTCGGTTTCCGTTTCGGGCCAGAATTTAAAGTGTTACCAATATTTATATAAATTCTGTCCAGTTTTATTGTTACTTTCAGTAAAAGTGTGGTTATTTTATTGGCTTGTGTTTTTTTAAATTCAATATTATTAAAATCAAGTTAAATTTAAAAAGTCTTACAAAATTACTTTGTAATATTTAATAAAATAATAAATAATCATTACAAAGAATTTTTGGTTTCAGTTTCTGTTTTCGGCCAAGTGCATCCAGAATTTTCGGTTTCCGTTTCAGCCCAGAGTTTTCATTTCGGTGCATCCCTATTATATTTCCAAATCTGGAATCATCTTGATCTGCTCAAACAATATTCCTTAAATATTTATTA